TGATGATTTTTTATAAAACGTACATATATACCAACTTGTAGTCCATTGTAGCATATTTATGTTACATTTACTTTAAATTTGTCTATTTGTATAGACGAAGGAAGTGGGTGAGGACGAGAAGTGTTTGTTTGAAGAAACAGCAAAGCACCCAAACTTTGTTCAGACTTTTCTTCTGTTCAAGAAGACACACCCTACACCCCAACATTGTATAGTCATGGAGAAGTGTGGTTAGTATATAGATCACCTGGAGGTGGTTCTGAATTTTGAGCTTGTCAAGTATAAATATAGTTGTATTGTTGCAGGTGTCCACAGTTCCTAATGTGAGCAGGACACACTAAAGTCATAATTCGTTCATGGCTCTCTATGCTGCTTTAAAACTACGACATGTAGGACGCATGCGTATTCGAGATATGACTTACTATATGACTGACGAATTACTAGATCGACGCTCTACCAACTGAGCTACACAATGTCATAAACATACTCGTTTATATGAATTCAACATCGAACAAATTAATATAAACGAGTATGTTAATGACATTCAGTATATATTTCATAATTTCCAGTCTTAAGTCCGTCTGACCGTGTAGCTCAGTTGGTAGAGCGTCGATCTAGTAATTCGAAGGTCGCGGGTTCAAGACGTTCGTATCATTCATACGTCCTTTCCAGACGATCATCAGGCCATTTTGTTCACGATTTTGTTCTTACGTGATTGTATCATAGTGCACAAAATTGCCTGATGATCGTCTAGAAAGGACGTGAAACTCGGAGTAGCGATATTTAATTTTAAGATATAAACAATTTAATAAGCGCTCTGCTATTTTGTTTGGTATTGAGCACTTCATGTTTCTACAATGAAGTGCGCCAGCACTCGTTTTAATACGCCATGCAGAATACAAATCGTACACAAACATGTAAACGTAGCTTTATGATGGCCTTGAGTAAATAACAAAGTAAGGGTGCAATACTGAAATGCCAGTTGAAGTGTTAAGGATGACAGTTAAACCCTGTCCAGTATATCAACAAAGTTGGTTTAAAGTTTAGTTTTGCTGTTTTGATTTACAGAGATGACCCTGAAAGACCATCTTAGAAAGTTGGCTGGCAGTGGCAAACGGTTGGAAATCTATCAGGCCATGTTTTACTGGACTCAAACCCTTGATGCGTTAAAACACCTTCACAATTTACGTATCCCTATGATACATAAAGACATCAAAGCTGAGAATGTGTTGCTTTCAATCAGGGACAATCTTGTCAGGGTTAAACTTGCTGATTACGACACAGTGAAGAAACTTGACAATGACTACACACAGCCAGGATTGGTAACCAAAGGGACTTTAGGCCTCATTTCTCCTGAGGTATGTGTAGTTATATTTACTATATACCTTGATTTGCCATACTAAAAAATCCTATTGGAATTCCCATAACAATGCTTATCAGCATTTTGTACCAGGAAGCAACTAATATTTAGTCTCTCAAAATGTTTCTTAGATCTTACGTGTGTGTTTAATGCTAGCTGACAGAACTATGACTGTAATTTTACCAGTTGCATTCATATTGTTTTGTGTATTAACCAATGTGTCATGTTAATTTTCTTGGAGTTCTATGTCAATTAACATCAGCAAAACATTGTAATAACAATAATAACTTTAATAATAATTATTTTGATTACAAGTGCGAAAACAATTGCATATTAATTTTTCATTTATTATCTTATGATTTAATATGTTTCCTTGAAGGTCTTGACACGACAGTCACATGGTCGTCCAGCTGATATATGGAACATGGCTATGTTCCTGTTGCAATTGCTGTTTGTGGTTGATTTCACTAAACTACAGGTAGGTGTCCATTGGCACATGAAGACTTGTTTTGTTCTGGGTTGAAAGGGTTCTTCCTAGATCTATAATACTGAAAATTAAGCTACAAAAAAAACTATAAGAGAAAAATATTAATAGAATACATTTACTGTCGTTCCAATTGAAGTGTTGCTCAAATATTGATTCAATACATTACCTCGGGCTGACCAATTCATTTGATCAAGTTCCTCGAAATATTCATACACTTCCTAGTGTAATGTAAACTTCCTGTTGAATAGTTTGAATGCACCAATCACCTTTGTTGTTTGTGCAACTAACCAATCATAAATAGAAAGGAAGTGACCAAAAATGATCAAATTCTTGGAATTGGCTCTTTCACAGGAAGTGTATGAATATTTCGAGGAACTTGATCAAATGAATTGGTCAGCCTGAGGTAATGTATTGAATCAATATTTGAGGAACACTTCAATTGGAACAACAGTAATAGTTCAAAAATAAATTTGTCACCAAACATGAGACTCGGGTAGCCTCCTCCGCAGGCAACTCTGTATTGTCTTATCAAACTTTGGAAATCAAACTTTGGCCGAGCTTCAAGCGAAATAGTTTTAGGAAATAGGATAATGAAATAATAGAAGCACATTACAGCTTAATGAGGGTTACTATATCTATTCAATATTCCTGAAATATTAATCTTTCTTTCAAATATTCATAGTCTTAACCAAAGTATTCATATTCAAACCAAATATTCAGTCTCTACCCTGATAAAGCTTTGATATTTTATAATGAAAGTATTGACATGAATTGGGGGGGGGGGTTGATGAAACCATTATAATGAAAGTATTGACATGAATTGGGGGGGGGGGGTTGATGAAACCAGTACCAAGGTCTGATCGACATTGTCTCAATACAGAGTGACTTATAAAATAAAAAAAATGATTTTAGAAGGACTTGAAGGACTTACAACAGATGAGAATGAAGACAAAAGACTTTGTGAATGTTAGTACAAGTTCAAATCTCATGCAATATGCAAGTTAGAAATTTCAATGTTGTAATTTTTATAATGAAAGTATTGACATGAATTGGGGGGGGGGGGTTGATGAAACCAGTACCAAGGTCTGATCGACATTGTCTCAATACAGAGTGACTTATAAAATAAAAAAAAATGATTTTAGAAGGACTTGAAGGACTTACAGCAGATGAGAATGAAGACAAAAGACTTTGTGAATGTTAGTACAAGTTCAAATCTCATGCAATATGCAAGTTAGAAATTTCAATGTTGTAATATTTATGTTGTATTTTTTCAATATATATTTAGGCAAAAATTGCTGAGCTGAAGGAAATGGATAATGAGCTAGCTGATTTAATCCGACTCTGTTTAAGTGTAAGTAATAAATCTTGTATATTATTGTCACAGAATACCAAGGCGGTGTACTTGCCCCCCCCCCCCACCTCTGGTCTTATCCTCCCTGTTGATTTTCAGAGTCATTTTCAAAAATTTAAACTGTGCTTTAATATACTCCAAATTGGTCAGAAAACCTTTGTCATTGAATAAAAACTAGTCCAAACGTTTGGTATAGGTGCGAGATTAAGGGCCTGTTCATATGGACAATAGTTATCCCGGTTAACGAGAAAACTTTTCGACTAGCCAAATACTTTTGTTCTGTTCATATGGAGAAACGTTATCCCGATTACCGGGTAAAGTTTTCGGCTGTGACATAGCACTTAACATCAATTGAATTGAAAAGTTGCTGACACGACAGAAATTTAAAGTTATCCCGCAAAGCTGGAAAGTTCGGTACACGGGAAAACGTTTTGTCTCAAATGAACGTAGTGTAACTTTTCGTATTACTTTCATACCAAGGAAGGCGACAAGGTTGACGAAAAGTTTTCTCGCTAACCGGGATAACTTTTGCCCATATGAACAAGGCCGTAAGATGTTTAACAATTTCATGTTCTGTGTTTTGCAGGAAGATCCATCGAAACGTCCTACCGCCACCCAAATTTTGAAAGACCCAGCGGTCGCCGAATACATCAAGAGGGAGATAAACATGGATGAATTGATCCGGCAAATTCGTCCGGATTTGGAAGTCCCAAAATTATAGCACTGGTGTGAAAGGTGTTACAAAGTGAATGTAACTTATATAACCAGTTAGGCGAGACTTTTTTATTCATTGGTTTACGGATCCGCCGACCGTAAATATTCAGAAAGTGAAAAATAAAAAAAAATTTGGATGTCAACAACTTTACGATTTTAGTTAATTTGGGGTTCAGACATATGAAGTACACGCCCAATCTCGTTCCCCGAGCCTGCGATCCTCGGGAAGGAACGCGAGGCTCTGGGATAATCCGTTTCAGGGAGGAATCTGATTGGTCGTTGAAATGGAATGCGTAGTTCAATCTTAGCCAGGATTCCTGTACCCTGGATTCCAGAGCCTTCGACAGTAAATAATAAATTGAAATGTCGTGAAGGCTCTGGTTCAACGGGGAGATTCTTTGATTAAACCGCGCCAATCACAAAACATAATTAGTGGTTTTAGTACAGAATCTGTACTAAAACCACTAATTCTGTTTTGTGATTGGCGCGGTTCAATCAAAGAATCTCCCCGTTGAACCAGAGCCTTCGCGACATTTCAATTTATTATTTACTGTCGAAGGCTCTGGAATCCAGGGTAGGATTCCTGGCTTCCGGCAACGGATTATCCCAGAGCCTCGCGTTCCTTCCCGAGGATCGCAGGCTCGGGGAACGAGATTGGTACACGCCAAGTAAAATCCGTAAACCAACAAATTTAAAGTAAAATCCGTAAAGCAATAAATAAAAAAAGTCTCGCCTTACAAAATAAAAATTTAAAAAACCACAAAAAAGAGAATATGTAATAACACTTAGACTTAGTAACACGTTCTAATGAAAAGCAACCTTTTACATTTTATAAGCAGTTAAAGTACCAGTATATAGAACGTCTGTATATGTACAATATGTACAAATAATTCAGCTGTTATGATTACATGTAAACAGGGTTTGTAGCGTGACTTAACCCATTGAGCGCCTTACTTATATTTCACTCTAACACCAGAGTGGGAAAGAGATAAAAAATTGATACATCGCTTTCATACGATTCAAAGACTTTTCAAAGAATGTCTATCTTGGTTTGTGGAAAACACCACGTATATTGTTTATTGCAAAGCTTCCCGTCCGCAAGCTCGGATCTTCATTAGTTCTAACATTATGATCTGTTTTAACACAGAGGAGAAATTTTGCTTGCGTCATTTGAAAGTATATTTAAAGACTGCCTATACGAACCCTTTAATACACTTTCATAAAGGGGCAAAAAACAGCAAAAAAAGTAAGGCTATATAGCCTTTACTTTTCGTCAAGGGTGGGTTGACTACAAAATTTTTGTAGTCAACCCTTTACTTTTCGTCCACTTTCATTTTACTTTTCGTCCACTTTACTTTTCGTCCACTTTCATTTTACTTTTCGTCCACTTTACTTTTCGTCCACTTTCATTTTACTTTTCGTCCACTTTACTTTTCGTCCACTTTCATTTTACTTTTCGTCCACTTTACTTTTCGTCCACTTTCATTTTACTTTTCGTCCACTTTTTCGTTAAATTTGTTTTTGAATAGCAGACTAATAGCCTCCCGATTCTCGACATGCCCGGTTAGTAACTGATTTAGCCATTTGAGAGACAATAGTCTCAAATCCTGGAATATTTAAACATGTTTTAGTCCATGTTTAGGTTAGTAATATGAAATCAATTTTGGAAATAGATTGAAGAAAATCCTTGTTTTTAGTTTCATCTCGAAGAACTGTATTGAATATATCATTAATATTCCATGTGCTAAAAGAGATGTCTGAGGTCATTTTGCTAGTATTTCTAGTGAATTGATAGAGAATGCCAATTATTAATAACTCTTTCCAAAATTAGAGATGTTTGTGAGAAAGATTAAGTTTTTATATATTTCTGAGCTAATACCCTGCTAGTAGAGAACCAATCAGATTGCAGAATACCTCATATCCAGACCTTGTGTATATAATAAAATTATATATACATATACATGCATACACATAAAGACAGAACTTACATGTTACATTATATTAATACATCCATATAATTTTCTCACCAGTTCGATAACTTGAGGTGGTAGCAGTTCCCCTATTGTTGGATCCTGGGGAGTAGGGGGAGGGAATGGAGTGTTTTCTTTGGTTAGATGATTTTGTTGAACTGATTGTAGTGGGTCCATGTTTGGGGTGAAAGGAGGGTATCGAAAATTGAATGGTGATTGGAATGGTTGCTTTCTGTATGGGTTTCGGAGAAAGTTGTATGGTGAGTGGTTTCCAATTTGAGTTGTGTTGAAATAAGCAGCTTTCAAAACTTTTGCAAATTTTTTGACTCCTTTTTCTTTCGGGTCCTTTTCGTCTTTGAGATCAGCATTGTTATGAATTTGGTGAAAGACTAAAGATGTGTTCGCTTTAGCCATTTTTGTAATTTCTTCATTGATGGTGGGAATTTGTTCGTTAGGTTGGTCTTTTCTTGGTAGTAACGTTGAGATAATTCATCTACATTTAGGGTATTTTTCTATAATCTGGTTGATGACTTTTTCAGTTTCTGCAACAATATTTTCTTTTCGTTCCGGATGTTCAATGTTATTAGTTCCACAATGTAGGATAAAATTTTTTGGGTTTTCAAATTTGGTGTTTTCTATCATTTCTTTCGCTTTTGACATAGTTGGACATCGTATGTATTTGAATGGTCGTGGAGTATGGGCACAATAATTCTGGTTGTAAGTAGCGTCCATTGCTGTTACATAGTAATGGCTATAGCCTTAACTTTTCGTCGATTTTTAGCGACTTTCCCATAAATTGGCAAAAAACAGCAAAAAACTAAGGCTGTAGCCTTAACTTTTCGTCCATTTTTAGCGACTTTTCCCATTTTTCATAAATGGGCAAAAAACAGCAAAAAAGTAAGGCTATAGCCTTAACTTTTCCATTTTTAGCCACTTATGTCATTTTTCATAAGTGGGCAAAAAACAGCCAGAAAGTAAGGCTTTTGCCTTAACTTTTCGTCCATTTTTAGCCACTTATGTCATTTTTCATAAGGGAAAGTACATTTATTATGCCAAGGGGGGGATGAAGATGTTAAGGGGGGGCTCCGAAATATTTTCTGGCATTAAAGGGGGGGCTCTGAAAGTTCTTGATATACTGAAGGGGGGGGGGCACTAAACTTTTCAAAGGTTTGACCCCAGCAAATTAAAGTTAAAATTTTTACATTTTCAGGTAAAATTTGCATAATAAAGTAATTATTTTTGTGAAATGATAACCATTTTTGTAAAATACAGTCAATTTACATGCAATTTGTTTGCAAAATTTGCTTTAGAAAACGCCAGAAATTCAGTCCTAGAGCTTCAAAAATGTAAAAATTTTCTGGGGGAGCACCCCAGACCACCCTTTTCTCCCAAAACTTAGTATGAGAGTGCCAATCAATCACAAAAAGCTTTATTATAATTATTACACGTATAATCCTCTGACATACCCCACCCCAAACGTCAGATGCTTTGCTACGTCCCTGATGGTTGTATTCGAAACCGATTTCAGTTTTAAGATATCCTTAGTCTGCTCTTCTAAATGGATACATGAAATCACCTATAGCTTATTTTAATTTTTTTGGCTCCAGGTTTGTGAAGTAATTTACGCGCCTAAAAGTAGCAGTTCCAAAAACAAAAAAGCATATACGATTTGCAAGAATGATATGTTCTATGTTTATGGGATATTTCGTACAAACGGGATGGAAATTAAAGAAATTGAAGCATACTGGCACTTTTGCAAGCATTTTTGACAGGCATGCAAAGACATTTGCAACAGATGCCGGGCGATACGTTGGGTGGGGGCGACATACTGTAAGGTTCCAGCACATTACCCTGATCCAGGAAATCCTGGCCACTACATGAACGTGTTCAAGACTCCAAATACGCTGAATGATGGACAGCAACAACCTGTTGATAATTTCACCCCTAGAGCCAATTTAAAATGTTTTAAAGACGGTGCCATTTCATCTGGCGCTAGTGAGGTGAAAGAAGCAGCAGATCGGTAGTTTTGTTGAGGAGAAGCACTTGAGTATATCAGACATCTTGAGGAACTGCAAATTGTATATATGATAAGAGAGAATTCCGGATTCTACTCCTTTGATTCCGAATTCTACAGGGGGGGGGGCATTGAAAATTTTAAAAACTTGGAGGGGGGGCATCGAAATTTACCGATAACCTCAACAGAGGGCCCTGTAAAAATATGAGCTTTTTTCAAGACATCTTCATCCCCCTCCCCTCGGTGTAATAAATGTACTTTCCCTAAGTGGGCAATAAACAGCAAAAAAGTAAGGCTATAGCCTTAACTTTTCGTCCATTTTTAGCGACTTCCCATTTTTCATGAATGGGAAAAAAACAACAAAAAGTAAGGCTATAGCCTTAACTTCTCTTCCATTTTTAGCGACTTATAGCTATTTCCAGTATTTTGAGGAGTTTTGCAACAAGAAATTAACCTTACACCAGTCCCTGAAAATCAAACCAGCTGATCTTCTGGGACTGGTCAAATCGATCCCTGCAACCATGCTGTTTTGCAACATTTTTTTTCCCACCAAATACTGGGCCAGAATAGCCTTGCAGGAAATTTTTTTTCAAAATCACCCCCCCCCCCTCAAAAGTTAAATGGTCGCCCCCTAATAACACCTCTCGAGTCGCATACTGGACTTTGGGGGCGGGTTTTGGCGGGAAAATCTGTAATGTTTGGAGAAGACAAGATGGCGCTGGTTACCTCGTGTTATATCAAAGGGCATTTTTGTTTACAAATACCCGCTTATTTTACGTTTTAGCGACTCGTTAGTCTTGAAAATTATAACTCAATGGACAGGGAAAACGATTCTGTATTAAGGAGAAAAAGATGTGCAGTTATTGTGATGTTATTAGTTGTGAAAGACGTCCCGAAATTTCGCTACTTCGCTTTACTGGTTTATAAAACATTTAAAAGCAACAGCAATTGAACTATATCACAAAGGAACCGATGTATACAAGCCAATCAAGTTCTTCAGTTTAAAGGTCAGTTTACTTTTTAATAATTAGTTCATTTAGTTGTATATTAATACGAAGTACTGGAACAGTACGCCGAGTTTGATTTGCTATATTGAAATTTGTACTGTAGTCGGAATAACATAAGGTATGGATAAACAGAGCTCAACCCCTTCTCTAACCCTAACCAATAAATGTGTAATGAACTATTTGAGAGATAAAAAGGTTGGGGGGAAATTTTAAAATATTTTAATGCACATATCAACGGCCTGCCCGGGGGGTACACCCCGGGACAATCGGGGGGAAACGAGGGGGAATTTGGTATTTTATCTGTGTATTCTGCCCGTGAACCCCGGGGAAATTACAAACTTCGCAATAATAGGACGACGGGGGGGGGAGGGGAAGTAGGGGACTTTGACGTGACAATTTGAATTTTATAAATGAACTGAGCAGCTGGGAAATTTGTTGTCGCTGTGCAGAGAAATTGCTGGCGCACGCGATATTTTACAAAAATTCGAAAATTTGAAAAAACAACACGAGTGAAATTTCAACTGATGATTTTGCATTTTTAAGACGGCGATCAAGAAAATTAAATTGTAGGAAAAACTTCACTAACATCTCAAGTATGGAAAGCATCTACGTTATCAGCATTTTAATTTTGGATTGATTCAAACTTCAGGCGATAAAGTTACATAGCTAGGAGTTGGCTTTTGTGCTCTTCGAATGTCCATTTTCATTCGCGGATTACCACAATTTGTTGGTTTCATGGGTGCCAAAATCGACATAAACGTAAACCGGTAACCAAGAGCTATAAAACAAATAGTTTTTCAAAACGATAAACTTTATTCAGTCAAAAGGATGAGGGTAAATAAACATGCTACTGCGTGATGGTGATTTTGAAGCAACTTTATCACATATATTTTAAAAAGTGGGATAATGAATCAAATTTTGCTTTTTTCAATCCCAAAAAGGTATGAAAATTATTTAAATATTTAAGCTTTCCGTGTTTATAATGTATTTTTTGAGAAAAGTAAACATTTTTCCGATAAAAAGCATAGTTTCTGCAGAAAACTGTTTTTTGAGGTAGAATATCCTGGGAGAGGGGGTGTAGAAGTGTGGGTGGATAGCAAAAAACTTTGACGATTTCACCAAAAATTTAATACCAAATTTTGTTTTGCCTTAGTTTGATATGTAATTTAAACAAGTTTTTTTACATCTAAAAATTGCCCCTCGTGATCAAAACTTGGATTATGTTCGCAGTATTGTCTATTTTTTTACTTCTGGAGATCAAAGTTTGAGGTCCAATTATTTTTAAAGTTTGCAAACTACCCAACTAATTCTTGGCTGTTGTTTGTAGCCTTGTATGCTGATTAAAATTTAGTTTAGTCCACAATAGTAGGTCCTTTCAATGAAAGGAAATTAAAAATAGTATATTTGATTACTTTTACAGCACCGTTAGTACATAGGTAGGGTGCAATACCAGGCCAAATTGAAAAAAAATTTACCGAAATCTCCAAATTTAAAATCATATTTTTTTGCTCCCAAGGCACATAGGAAACATAATTTAACAATGAATTTTGCTGAAAAATTGCCCCTTTGCGTCTAATTTCGCTTTGAAATGCGTGCGTTTACTGCTCTTGTGTGAGATAAGAGTTCGAAAACATTCGAACTACTGAAAATGTAATGAAATCGACAACTTGACCTTGCCCTTAAGTCCTTGTACTGCCTCAGCACTGAAATGTTTTTATAACAACGATAATTTACCAAGTTTCTTGGATATTTTCCTTGTTTAACTAGTAGAACCGAACATACAAGTGCATTAGAAGACTAAGCGAGAGTTTTGTGTAGAAATGCTCTGTTTACGGGAAGTTATTCTGCATTCGCAAGCGTCAACAAAAGCCGGCATTTTCACAGTTTGATTATCATGTCCATAGATAAAAGCTTTAAAAATTCAATTGAAAACATTTTAAACCACCCGTATTTCTATAGAATATATGTTAGTGGTATTAACATTGAACTTCTTTCTGTTTGAACCCAAATTCGTACTTGTTTTGCGTTTTACAAGGCTGTCAAGCTCGCGACGATTGGCAGGCATGACTGCAGATTTAGCGTGTCAAATGTCTTCTTGTTTGTGTCAAGATTATAATATTCTATTGCTGTTCAAACACAAACGAGATATTCTATACACTGGAAACGTAGAGTACATTTTACTCAGTCGAGCAAGAAAATTATAAAGATTAAACAGGCATTCAAAAATATACAACAACTACGAACATCTCGTTATTTCTTCGCGAAAATCTTCAAGTTTCAATGGAAATCTGGCGCATGCGCAACAAATTTCCCAGCTGCTTGAAAAATGCAAAAGTTTCAATTTTACACCGCAAGTCCACTGACAATATGAGCCTGCGATCCTGGGAGAAAAT